GAGCTTTATTTTATCTCCCCATTTTAATGAGCTGCCTGTCGGGTTTGTGTCTACATATTAAGTAGATCTCAATCTCTAATGCAGGACAATGTCAGATGCTGTTTGAGACCCTGTTTGGAACTATTAGTGATCCACAGCTTGTGGCTCCCTCTGCTGGGGCTGGGTGCACTTGGAAAGGACCAAGATGTACACCAAGATCTGCTTTTCCTAGCCCTGGGACCAAAAGGAGATGAGGCAAAGACTCAAAGCCTCCAAAGACCCACCTCTGCTTGCAGTCTGATTATTATTTAGTTTGGATTAGCTTCAGGCTATTGACCACAGGGTGGGGCAAGAGGTTTTCCAATAAGGTGGGACAATTGCTTCTGCCTGCAGGCTGATTGTTATTCTCAGTTTCTTAATGGGCCTCAGAAACTCCACAGGGTGGGGCAAGGGGTTTTCCAATAGGGTGGAGCAATTGATTCCCTCCCCAGGCAAAAGCTGCCTGGATGGTAAAGGTATGCCAGAGAAAGATGTCCTCTTCAGTATGAGGGAATGGCTCAGCACAGGAAACCGGAGTGTCTGCCTTCTGAGGTCTAACCCCGGAGCCCCCAACCCTGGCTTCTGTTCACACAATTCCAGTCCACTCTACCCTCCTTCTGCTAGAGCCCAAGGTGAGTGGTTGCACATGAAATTTTGTGCATTGGCCCTTTAAGGAGGTGCCTGCATTTCCAGCCATCTCTCCCAGGCAGACAGAAACCCTGCTGCTTTTCACAACCAGATGTTTTGTGGGCACCTTTCTCAGTTCCAGTGCACTGGGCTGGGAGGCCAAGCTTGGAGTTTATACCTCAGAATTCTCAGTGGAAACGCCATAGAGCTGAGATATCTCTCTGGATCTTCAGCTGCTGTCTTTGGGATCCCAGCCAACCCTTGTGCACCTCTGTACCTCTTACCAGACTCTATGCAGTCTCCCCTTCTGTCCTTGGTTATCAGGGTTGTCTCCAGCTTGTCTTCAGTTGATTATTCAGATGGTTTTTCTGTATTTTAATTGTAATTCCAGTTTTGTCCTGGGAGTGTGTCAGTGTAGCTTCCATTTACTCCATCACCATTTTGGAATCCTCCTTATTGTATTTTATTGTGACTATATCGCTTGGCTTGCTTTTCTCTTTGATAGCTTTCTGCCTTGAATTTGTTAGTATCAGTTGACATTTTAAAAATAAAAGTAGAGCATGAATAGTCTCTAACATAGTGATACTCACCACAGAGCTGTGGCATAATAGTTACTGATACATTAACTGGGTCCTTTTTTTTTAGTTCTTCAAAATGCAGAGAGCAGCATCATTTTACAATTTGGTAAAGATGAGTTTATACATCTGAAAACATTGACATATTGAGGACAATCTGTTCCTTAAATCCCTAAGCAAGAAGCAGTCAGCACAGTGAGTTGATACCTGTTTACACAAAGAAGGCAGGGCCTAAAACATCTATGTGCCCTCACCCCCTACCAGTGGTCAGCAAACTGCGGCTTGCGAACCACATGCAGCTCTTTGGCCCCTTGAGTGTGGCTCTTCCACAAAATACCACGTGCGGGTGCGCACATACAGTGCGATTGAAACTTCGGGGCCCATGCGCAGAAGTCGGTATTTTGTGGAAGAGCCACATTCAAGGGGCCAAAGAGCCGCATGTGGCTCGCGATCCGCAGTTTGCCAAACACTGCCCTAGGCCATTAGGAACATTTTGGACAGTAGGCAGAGTGTCTATTTTTTCAGTGCAACACGTTTCAGTAATGAAATGCAATGGGTTTCACAGTGGATGTGGACATAACAAAAATTCCTTTTCTTTCTTTTTCTTTTTTTCCTTTATTGATTAATGGAATTACATATGGTGTCCTTAACCCC